GACACAGGAGGGCACAGGAGGACAAAAGAGGACAAAAGAGAGAGGGAGAGGGGGACAGGGGGACAGGAGAACAGAAGAGAGGAATACAGGGGGCACAGGGATGGGTCAGAGGAAGACAGGAGGATGGGGGACACATGAGGAGAGGTGGGGAGAAAGGACAGAGGAGAGGGGTGCAGTAGGAGAGGGGACAGGGAGAGGGGGATAGGGGAAGAAGAGCAGAGGGGACACAAGGACACAGGGATGAGGACAGGAGGACATGAGGAGAGGGAGAGGAGAACAGTGGAGAAAGGATGGAGGCGGAGCTTTAAGGCACAGCTCATATGGATGCCAACATCTTCATCAGAACAAACAGCTTGGACAGGATAGGGTCATTACTGAAAGCAGAGACATTGGCAGATTATATGGCATGTTGGACTAGTTTGCTGTGTAGAAATCAATATTAAATCAAATATGATGTTAGCTACTGAGATGATCTTTTTTTGTTTTAAATATTTCCTAAATTTGAATTTGAGTGACTCTCAAGTGCTTCCTTTTAAACATGACAAGCTCCCATTGGTCTGTCCCTGTCTGCTCTGATTGGCTGTTGGAAAATGCCTGTAGCTATGTAGATCCAACTGTGGTTGAGTGTGACAGATCTTATTGGTTGCCCACCCACCACAATTACCCCAGGAGGGGTATCTTGCAATACATGTTTTTATTCATCTCATAATGAAATGAGGCAATACAATATTACACCCTGTCCTTCGTTATTTTAATATAAAAAGAGAGAATAATTGTTCAAATCAGAATCATGTATGTACAGGGAAACACATAAAAGCAAAGAGTAAAAAAATATATTTTGTAAAATATTTTTTGCACTGCGAGAACTGCAAGACAAATTTCCTTTCAATGATAATAAAGTGTACCTTCTTCTTAGCCACATTTTTTAAAAATGTAAGTATAATATGATCAAAAGCATATTTAATGTAAATTATTGTGCAAATGAGTCCTGTCATTTAGTTTAATAAATAAAAAGGTATTTATAACATTTTTTTTTTTTAATTATTATTTAATGTTTCTAGTTTCATTGCTTGACTTTAAGGTTTTACAGCAATGACAGTTGGTAGATACATTTGGGTAGTTATACCTTTAAGAGAAAATACCAGATCAGGCATCAAATTGCTCCATCTAACTGTGAACTTTTGACATTGCAGACACATCAAATAAGCCATGAATGTGTAATCTAATCTAAAATAAATAATAATAAAATGATAGAGTTACAGTGTATAGCAGACTCAAGACTCAAACTTGGACAGTGTCGCCTTCATCTCTCCATACCAACCACCCACTTCCCAGAGGAGACAAACCAATCCCCAACAGCCAGAGGGGTGCAGCACAGCAGGTGAACTCCCCCTCCCCTCGCTGTCCTGAGTGGACCAGCAGACCACTGCCACTGGACGTGTGTGTGTGTGTGAGCCCCAAAAGAAATCAAGCCAGTCATTTGTCACGGCACACTCCGGGACATGTCTCTGTCAGCACATCAGTGTAGATATACTTCAGTCCAGAGGAGAGGGGCTGCAGCTGTAATTATAGCAGTAATCCTGTTTAGCTCCCTCACAGAATGAATACAAAATGTATGCTAGGTAATGTCACCGGACACTTTTAACAACTAAGAATATATGGTAATTGACTGTAAAGTGACTGGTGTGTGAGGGGTTAAAAAGAGGGAGGAATGCAAATAATGTGGGATTGTGGGATTAGTTATTCCTATAAAGTCATTAAGTCAACTAATAATTTTATAATTTGGCAATTTTTTCAGCAGTTCAGTTAATATGTACATCTTTATTTTGAAATTTTCAGATGATTAACAGTAAACATATTATAAATAATAATAATAAAAATATAATTTTAAATATATAATAAATGTATAAATTAATTTATAGCAGCACATTATGTGGTGTCATTGTAAACATGAGAATGACTTGTAGTCATTTTACAGTATCTCCATGTTCCTAAATTACTTAATTAAAAATAAATCCTCATCTGTTTTTTATTTAAAATTATTTATTTATTTCAACAATTTATTGATTGATTTGCCAAGCAACTAAACACTAGTCTACACTTTTATTGTGTAACTATTTACTTTGATTAAAAAAAGTGCTGTTTACATAAATCTTTTCATAAATGGTAAACACATAACCATCACAATGCAGGTTTGTTAAATATTGTTGCTTGTAGGCCTGTCATGATAATTACTATATTGAGTTCTCGTTCAATATATGTCAGATGAAACAATTATTTTGGGGGGGTCAATATTTATTGTCGGGACTTTCATACTAACAGTGAAAGTTTTGTTTTCCTTCTGTAACTTCTATACTCATTACAGATGAAAAAAATAATAACTACAAGTGTTTCCTTCTGCTGTTTATTTATTTGAGTTTGTGTTTTTTAATCATATTATACAATTAGACTAGTTGAGGTTATTCAGTGGCATTCATAGCTTCAGTATTATCATTTATGATCTATATTTCCTTCAGCAATATATTGTACTTCAAAATGTGTTATTGTGTCAGGCGTAGTTGCTTGTTTCAGGATTACTTAAGTGCATACTTGTAACATTTTTGGAATACTTGTAACAACATAAAACTACTGAATACATTTTTCCCCCTTTTTCCACAGCAAAAAACAACACTGATATGTAAAAACATGTCCTTATTAACAGAAGCCAGCACCTACACAGAGTGGCGTTCCCCAAATGTGACTTGGCACTTTGAATGAAATGAGCTGCTCTTTAGTCCCACCTTTCCCCCTCTAATCAGATTATGCGAGTGCACTGTGCAGCATCTCCGCACCATACAGTCTACTTTAACCTATTAATGTGGCCAGCCTTGTGTCACTGATTTCCCCTGCGATGGAAACAGTATCATGTTAATTATCACAACCATCTGGTCCGCTCTTGGAAAAAAAAGTATCATTTTTTCTGCAGACTTGTACCTGTCAGTCAAAAAATGGCTTCAAACAGACCACTGGGGCTGTGGAAGTGCTCAGAAGAACTCCGCCACAGTCTCACCGGATTTAGGATGGCGTTAAATTAATCGGCAGCTGGCAATTTGGGTCTCTCCTCTCACTGTTGTTGCTCTCAGCACCAGTCATTGATTTGGGCACCCGCTTCCTCATTTGTACTGCTATTTATAGATATTTAGCATGGTAATTTGAGTCAGAGGGAGTTCAGTATTTACATAAGAAATCTTTTACTAAACACTTAACAAATCTGCGGTAGTAAAGTGAGAATTAAATGCATTTTTAAATTATTGTATATAAAATTTTATAAATAAAGGCAAGTTTATTTGTAGAGCACAGTTCGTACACAAAGTAATTCAAAGTGCTTTACAGAATAAGAAATACATTAAAATCATAATAAAAACAAATCAAAACATAAATAATCATGAAGATTAAAATTACAAAAGGGAGACATAAATTGGAGAGAAGAGTGCGGAATGAAAACCTTTCAGTTATATGTAAATAAAAAAATGTAGTTTACTCAGTTAAAGTTACAGTTTGCTCCTTTACCAGATACTGACTAACAATAAAAAGACAATTCTTTTTTTATTTTCACTTGCAACGTAGTAGCAGCCTGCAACTATGGGCTTATGGTAGGTTTCTATAGTCTCCAATAGTTAATTTATGACCTGACCTCTTACTTGTTTTTAAAAATGTTGTAGTAGAAAATCGGTTTACCTTTCTTTTGCACATCTGATGTTGCTTGAGTAATGAACAATGCCTCAAATTAGGCATTTACTCCTAACTAATGCTATAATAAAAGCTTTCAAATTGGGCCTTCTATCAAAACACACTAAATTTGACCAAATTTGTAAAATACATTTTTCCCAGGAGGCAGCAGCCTGCTGGGATTTTGAAAGACAGATGCTCTCCTCAAAGTGAACCTGCACTGACCCCTCTGCCACATAAATTATTCTGTAGTTTCAGACTCTGTCCCAAACTTGTGGAATTGGGTTACAAGATAATTTCACAGACCACTTGCTTGTCTTCCTTGGCAGTCCAACTGGCTAATTGAAGAGTGATTTCCAGTCCAGAACATGGCAGTGAAATCACACAGGCGCTCACTTATTCCTACCATTTTTCTATTAAATATCATAAATATTCAGAATGTATTTTAGGTGGATATGCAAAGAGTAAGCTGCTTGAAGTCTGAGTGACAGTCCAATCACATGTAAATAGGTAGAGTGGGAATCAATGAGCATCCAGTGCAAGTGTTAAGGCCACAAATGGAAAGAAGAAAAGGTGATTTATATTCAATTGTTTAAATAATAATAATGATAAAAATAAAACAAAAATAATATAAAATCAACCACATGTCTTTTGTTACCGGGTCACGCCATTTGAGGCCGGACACCAGATCAACAAATGGGATCAAGTGCATCACGGAAGAATGAGTGGCTAAGCTGCTGCTGGGCTAATCCTGGGGCATTTACCAATATCGGCTCAGATTGGGCTCTGATATGACAAGAACCACGTGTCACATAACCGCAAATTACCTTGGGCCACAGCGGGTCCTTCAAACAATTTCTCATCATCTTGGAATGACAGGAAATGTAAGTAGACAACTGTGTGATTCTAATGGGGGTAATTATTTTAAATTTATATTTTTAGACTTATACGGTACAGTTTTTACGCGCAGTGGAATTAATTGCGACTTTTCGAACGTTCAGACTTAAAAGTGTTACTAATTAAGACAATCAATTATTAAGAAAGTAACTGTGAATCAAGTGAAGTTCACCAAACCATAGCTACGATATCCCGAGAGGAACAAACGTTATCTTCAAACAAAAGCGCGAAACGTTTTCACCTCCCTAGTCAGTCCGAGCGGATCGCGGCGAAGCGCAGCCTCATCGCGGAGAGACGCTGCTGAAAAAGAGTGAGAGAGCGCGAGAGAGCAGGAGGAGGGTGTGTATGTGTGTGTGAGGGAGAGAGGGAGAGACAGACAGAGAGAGAGAAAGCGAAGCCTGAGCCAGAGAGACGAGAAAGATAAAGGAAAGACAGACGGAACGATAGACTTGTGCGTAAAAAGTACTAGTGCCCCCTCTTTTCTTCTACTCCTTCTTCCTGTCCTTCCTCTTGTTCTTTCTCAATTTCCATCAGACAAAAATCCCAACCGGCTGCTTGGATGAACCAAAACCTATCGATCTGTCAGTACTACACCTGGATTCACTGACCAGCGCGCAGCAGGCATGTCCCGAAGGAAGCAGAGCAATCCCAGGCAGATCAAACGTAAGTTTCTGTTTTTTACGCCGCCACGCTTTGTCTCTAGATGCGCTTATTAGACTTTGTGTAATATTGTAACGCGGCTGACCACAGTGGAGCTGATTCCGATGCGTGTAACTATCGCCACGCGTGTGCAGTCTGTCACGGTCCGTGCGCTCCAGTCTTCCCTGCTCTTGTTTTCAACACCTCGCTTAGTCCAGATCTCCCGGTGCTTCTGCCCCAAACTTTTACTTACTGCCGCTGCACTTATTTAGTCACTTACTATCCAGAGCTGCTCCGTTATTTATGACAAAACTATAGGCACGAGGTTCAACCTCACGTGTTGTTGAAATGTACAAACTATTTGTCTTGTCTCAAATTGTCCATCCTGAAATCGGTATGTTTTGGTTGCACTCATTTGACGACTTGACTCGTGAGTGTAATACACACACACCTCATGTTTACATACTGTAGGGCCTGTGCTTGATTCTCTATTGATTACCCATATTGACATAAGATGATGTGTGGCTCAGTTTTAAAGGGGAAGAGGTGACTGAAATTTTGGATTCTTTTTTATTTCTTTTGCTCTCTTGTTATGTATGTTTGTTTGAAAGTAGCCCACAATGTTGGTTTACTATAATACGTTATATTACACATAAACTGTAATGGATAAAAAAAAAAAAAATCCCTAAATTCTTGTGATTGAAAATATTCAGAATACGATATTACATTAAAGACACACATTTACAATTGCATTTTTCTGATTTTTAAATCTGGTGATATTTTGTGACAATCACACCCACACACTCACATTTAAAACACACAAGCACTTCAGCATTTTAGTCATTTTTTGTTGCAAAAGCTTTTGGGGTGTTTTATTAATATTTGTTTATAACTTTTATCACAAAACCAAAGAGCAAAATGTTGCATGTCTGAGTTTTGTGTTTGGATGTTGATTTACACTATGTTTGTGGGTGTCTGTGACACTGTGTGTGTCCTGTACATTTGTGTCAGATGTCTATCAAAAATGAAAGGGTATTATGTACTATTGGCTTAAAGACATTGGTGTCATAAATGTATTTCTATATTTCTTTTAAATTCTTTTTTTTTAAATAATTTGCTCATAACTTGATATAATATGTAATTAGTGTAAGACAATTATACACCTTTTTAAAGTACCAAAGATATTTTGTCTTGTGTGTAAACAGCAAGCTGAACATGTTCACTTAATTTAGCATATTAATTTATAGTAATTGTAGGGCTACCATTAAAATGATATATTGAAAAATAACACATAAAAGAAGTTTGATTTTAAAGATAATTCCCAGCATGGTGATCAGATCCGACTCGTATATTACTTACATTTATTCTCAGTTGTTTAGTGCCAACAGCCAACCATAATAAACTCAGAACCACGCCACCGATGACGTGATAGGCTCAGTGTCCTCAGGCCAATCCAAAAGCTGCATCCATGTTTTGTCGTTAAGTGAAATAAGTCACACATTATCTGAACATGTGTGTGTCTTTGTTATTGTGACCAGGTCTTATGTGGATGACTTATGTGACTGTGTGTAGATCGTGTTAATATGGAGCAGTGTCTAAGTGTCTAATCAAACTATAGTGCAACAGAAAGGTCAGGAGCAGCCTGGATCCTCTCAGCGCCGGGAACTCTGGGAAAAAGGCACTCCACTGAAGTCAGCACAGACAGTGGTTTTAAAGGACAAAAAGGTTGTTGGGCGCAGTCCCCCCACCCCTCCTGCATACATTGGGCTGTTATCTAAAATTGTGATTTATGCAGTATTTTAATATTTTGCTTATTCTTTCCCCTTGGGTGCACTCTGAGCAGTGATAAAAAGGCGATGCTGAAAGAGCACCATTAATTTGCTCCGATGACTGTGGAGATAAGGCCAGATAATGGGAAAGATAAGCAGGGAAGATATACCATCTGAAACCCGATTATTACCATTAAAATTCCAGCCCAGCAATCTGCAGCTGCCTGATAATTCCTTCTCCGTTTCCACCACTTTGGATGATAAGGCAAAAAATAGTCACTCAGTGCTCCTTGATTAGGCTGCCTGGATATCCCGATAATACTGTGATAAATTATGTATTTTCCCCCTTGTTTTTTTCCCTGAAACGTTACATCTGATTTTTTATATAAATATATATTTCTATGCCCCTCCTGTATCCCCCTCCCCTGGTTGCTTCTCCCAGAGAGCGGAACAGAGCCATAGACTTTTATTGTAATAAGAGTTCGATGGAAGGAGCAGATAGTGGTGGAGGTGTTTTGTGTGGGAGCACATATCAATGTTATCAGCCCATCTCCCAGGGCCAGCTGCTAGCTGCTGTTGTTTTTAGCCTTATCACCCTGTGCCAATATGCCAATAAATTGCCCAGATTGTTAGCTGTTCGGAGACAGGTCAGTGGAATTTGACAGGAATGATGAAAATATCGCTGATGCCGGCTGGATTGCGATTAGCTGCTGTAATATGGTGCGTGAATTCCTCCAAGCTGTAGCCTCTCTCTCTCTCTCTCTCCCCTCAGCCCTCTCGTGCTCCTGCGGCTGGTGTCCATACCTCTATTGGAGCTGAGAGAAGGAACATTTTGATGCTTAATAGGAAGAAAAGATATGAGCAGGCTGAATTGAAACCAGGCCCTCAGAGTAATTTTTCTGTAAAATTGCCCCAAAGTTTGGCGGTGGGTGCTGGGGGAGTGTGGATGATGTAGGGAGCCTGTGTTTATGGGAACATATTGGAGCAGCCCTGTGAGGCCACGCGGCGACGTCTAATGTCAAATGTGCTTATTAAACTGACTTAGTGCTCTCCCCTTTGTGTTGTCTTCACCATATGGAGGGCCCACTGTTTCCCCATACACTGCATGTGCACACTGTATGGTCATTATGTTGCGCTTTTATTGCATTATTGTGCAGGACCTTTGCAGTAATGCCCCTGGGTACCATGTCACTATATATTTCATCTCCTTCTAGTAGTGTAGATCCTCTATATGGAATATGGCATATATGCTGATTATTTTTCATTAACATTTTAGGCAAAGCTGATATTATTTCCCTTTGTATATTTGGGTCTCTCATAGAATCAACATTTTGATTTTATGGCATGCCTAATTGACTGTACTGTGTGACAAGTTACCCACTAAATCATAATTTATATAATATTTTCAAATATAGTACAAAATTTAGTTTGAAAGTGCACTGTCTTAATTGTAAAGGATATGAATATTTAAACTTTTTGTTCTAATTGATTCAGTCTTTCAGTTTTATTCAGAATTATTTTTTCCATCCCAGCCATAGTTTTTGTTCCTCTTCGCTCTCCCTCCCTCTGTCTCTCTCTCTCTCTCTGTGTAGTGGGTCTCTCCAAGTCCTTTAGCATAGGGCCACTTTATGTAGCGTCAGCATACAGTTTATCATATCAGGTGACGTTTCTATCTTTGAGGGGCATTTATCAGAGGCAGATTACAGTGCTAAGGGATAAGGGAGTGTTTACTGTATTGACTGCCAACATTCAGGACGTGTGTGTGTGTTTGAGTATACATTAGTGTACCTACTGTACATATGGGGAGGAGCTTCAGTGCTTGATGGGGAGGCGTCTTTTTTGTTCTTTTTGTTCAATTCTGTCATTCTTTCCACTCTCACTCTCCATCTGTTTGTATACTTACTCTGTTTATTTCTTGTTTTCAAATTGAAGAAAAAGTACTCATTTAGTAATTTATAAAGCGATGCCTATTGCCTATCTGATATATTTGCAAATTCGAAGAGTTCTTTTACATTAAAACTTCAAAATAGAAGTAAGCAGTAGTTACAATTAAGTATAAACTTTTTCCAGAAAGGTTCCAAAAAGTAGTGATTCAATATTTTTTTTAAAGTTATGCCTACATGTAACATCAGAGATTTTGCTTTTTCCAGGAGTTCTGTTACATCAAAACGTCAAAGCAGAAGTAAACATTAGTTAGCGTCACAAGTAAATTTTTTCTAAAAAATAGTCATTCAATAATTTTTATAGCAATGCCTAGTGCCTATCAGATTTTTTGCAATTTTCAAGAGTTCTGTTACATCAGAACTTCAAAGCAGAAGTAAACAATAGTTACCTTTAGAAGTAATTTTTTTCCAAAAAGGTTTCAAAAACTAGTCATTCAATATTTTGTAAGTAATGCCAAATGCCATGTAACATTCTTTTTTTTTTTTTTTTTTTTCAATTTCCAAGATTTCTATTACATCAAAACTTCAAAGTAGAAGTTAACAATAGTTACCCTTAGAAGTAAACATTTTCCAAAAAGATTCCAAAACTAGTCATTCAATTTCATTTTTAAAATGATGCCAAGTGCCTACGCGTAACATCTGATTTTAGCAATTTCCAAGAGTTCTGTTACCTCAAAACTTCAAAGTAGAAGTAAACAATAGTTACTCTTAGAAGTACAAGTCCAAAAGGTTTCTCAGAAAAACGTAACTAATTGCTACCCACCTCTCTTTACCGTATTGTCATATACATCACTTTAGCCTCTGCTCGCTAAAACCTGTCCTTCTCCGGTACAGTCAGATGTAGTCAGATGTGTTGGGGGCGTCAAATCAAGAGGAGTGCTTTGTTTGCCAGCCCGCGTGTGTATATTTAAGGGTCTCTCTTTCATCGGGTGACAATCAGGACGTCTCCAGTGTTCTTCTTGTTGATTTCTGTCAGGAGAAGAATGGTTTGCGAATGCCAACTTTCCCTCCAACATCTGTTCACTGCCAATAACAGCTTGTGCCTCGTCTTAGCTGAAGGATCCCTGATTGCCTCCTCCACTTTTGACACACAAACACAATGCAGATGAATGTCATATTCTTATAATGTTTCCCCATTGTGTCTGCACTCAGTGTTTTGCATTAGGGATATCTTCATAGAAAAAGTGCCAGTGGTATACACATATGGAAGTTTCTTGGGTTCTTTCAGTGATTCATATTTCCTGGTTGACTGGGATAATGATTTCATCAAATTGAAACTTGTTTAATTAAAACTACTGTCACATTAATTGTC